TCCTTCCGGACAACCTTCCAGATGAAGCCAGGGCTGTGAGGGAAGCCCAGGTCCTGGGTGCCTGCTGGTGATTGGAGGGAAGCCTGGGTCCTGGGTGCCTACTGGCAGCTGGAGAGAAGCCCGGGTCCTGGGTGCCAGAGGGAAGCTGGTACTGGCAGCCAGGGGAAAGAAGGCCTACTCTTGCATGAATTTTGTGCATCAGGCCTCTAGTCTGCATGTTGATTCCATCTGAGCATCTGTCTCTTTGACAGCCATCACATGAAGGTTTGGAAACCTGAGGCCCAGCCTTGCCCAGACTTTTGCATAGCATGCTAAAATATGTGCCTCAGTGGCTGTGATCCCATTGCATGCCCAGCTTTTCATTTATTTCAATATTGAAGGAAAGTATTGCCAACTCTTGCCTGTGAATAAAATCAAATGCCTATGGACATTCAGATAGAGCCTTCCCCTGAGCATGTTGACACTCTTCTGTAACACACAAATCTAACTGATGCCCTGCTAGTGATGATGGCCAACGAAACTTCTGGGGTCTCTGTAATGGCTCAAAAATAATCATTGCAAGTATGGTCTCTCTGTTCTTACAATGGGGTGTTCAATGATAAACAAAGTAAAATGTCCAGAATTTCCCACATCTATCAATCAAGAGTCAAAGAGCTGTTCATGCTGTACATTTGTGACTTTGTCCACCCATGCACCAAAGGCCTGCTGGCACACACGTGTGATACTGAATGCTCCTATGCATTGTATTTCATAAAGGAATTTTGCCAATAGCCTGTCTGTTTTTCTCTTGGCATGTTGCTTTGCTTTAATATCTTTTTCTAATGCTCTGACGGACTTATAAATAATAGTATATAATTTGTACCTGCTTTTGCTCTGAGGTATGGAACTTCAAATAATCCTTCTCTATCACTGGTGACAAATTTATCCATTTCATACTAGAAAGCATTATTTTGCAACTATTTTTGGGGGAGGGGAGGACAAGGCAAAATAGAATACCTTACCTTCTGTACCTAAGAGCACATGGCGCTTCCTTGGCAATGTCCTTTGGCCTTCCATGCCCTGGAGCCACATTTTGTTTTGCCTGTTTTGTAACCATGTCTGCCTCCTTATGTGGAACAAAGGCTTTAGGAAGACTTGGGTCCTTAGATATACTCTGCTACTAAACTGGTTGTGTGACCTTTGGAAAGTCTCTTGACCTCTCTGAGCTAGAGTTCCTTTATCTTAAAAGTTTTATTCAGGTCTACAAACCTTATGGTTTCTTATGACTGAATTTAATAAGCTTATTGTTTGTGTTAAGTGTGTGATTTCAGTTTCCTTTCATCATAAAATATAATTTTATAAGTACAACTCTCATAATTATCTTTATAAAATATAAGCTTTTCAGAAAGGAAAATAAAACACATTAAATTGCCTATGAATAAACCATTTAACACAAAAGAGATGGATGAAGGCAGTGATATTTCTCACTAAATGTTGCCTTTCAGATTGTTAAAAATGAATGTTTTCTTTTTTATTTGAAACCCCAAAAGAATGCTCTGTCCTAGCCATATAGTGTTCCTTGCAACATTATTTAAGGGTCCCAAATGCTCAATTGAGAAACCATTTGGAAAGGCTGACAAGGCTAATGCTGATCATTCTAACTCCCGACTATGAATTGTTGCCAGTGTTTTGAATTTATCATTCATATGTGATGAGAAGGTATAGTTTGCTAACATAATACTGGCCCCAATTTTGTATCAGTTTTGTCAGAATATGAAAATGTTCTCTCAATTTCTACAGCTTCTTAAATTTTCCTTCAACATTATTAATATACTCCCCTTGAGGTTTCTCCTTGCCTTTTTCTTTATTATCAGTGTTGTGTGTATGTATACATATGTGTGTGGTGCTCTTGAAGTTAACTGAGAAATTCAAAGCAGTGACAGGAGGTAGTCACACAAAACTTGTTAAATACAATCTGCTGGAAAACATAGTAGATGTGAGAAGAAGGCTGGGATAGTTAAACACACACATGACATTTACTTTTGTAGAAATAAAATATTCCTGAGAAATCATTCATTCTTGCCATTTCATTTTTGGGTTTTGTCATCTTTTAAGTTTTTTTCTTGGAAGCTTCTAAAATAATCTGTTAATGTAAGAAAGTTTTTAACGACATTTTACAAGCCAGTTCATAAATATTTTAAAACAATTTCATCTCCCTATGAAAATGCATACACCCAAGTATAGAAGAAGGGCAAATAAACTTTTACCCACCCTCAGTGGAGTACAATGCAGCTGTAAAAAAAAAAAAAAAAAAGAAAAAAAAAAGAATGTGGACAACAGTTGTGACCTGACACAGAGTGGTTTCCAGGAGACATTCAGATGAAAACAGCATATATAGTATGCTACCTTTTATAGGAAGGAAGAGAAAATGAAGGAAAAAATAGCTGCTTATTTTTACTAGCAGAAACCTAGGAAAGCTAAACCAGAAATCAGCAAGACTGGTTATGCACAAGAGATGGAATGGAGTGGATAGGATATGGGAGGGAGAGACACTTTTTGAGTGCCTTTTTCTATAGCTTTAAGTTTTAGAAGCATGTTAATATTCTGCATATTAAAATGTAAAAATAATTCATTATGAACTGAATGCAAATTGAAACAAATGAACTCCACTTTATTTCAAATGAATACCATAACTGCATTGAAGAGAGAAAAAGAGTATACCTCATTTCTTATTTGTAAAAGAGCAGAGAGGGAAAATTGCAAACAAATCCTGAACTCTTTTTGTAGCTTTATTTATTGTAGTAGTGTGGGTAAAACAATTCTGAAACTATAATAGATATACTATAGGATTTAGCAGAGGAGTAAGTGTGTTGACCTTGTTAGAGGGGAAATACAAATATGGATAGAAAAAGGCAGAATAAGCCCTTTGGGGATGGATTGAAATTAGATGAATCTGTTTGAACTCATGATTCCAAAAAATACATATGTGTACATAGATTTGCATATATGCATGCATGTTTATGTGTGTATGTATTTGTATGTGTGATCTGCATGTGATTGTATAGTGAAGGAACTGGACAACATTGTAGTTGTGTGATCAAAATTAACATCACCAATGGGGAGACTCATGATCATCATGTGGCTGCAGATGTGATATCCTAAAAAGGACACAAACGTCATCGCCCATGTAGTATACTGGCAAAAGAATGTATACCTGAATCTAATCAGAAGGAAACATCAGACAAATCCAAAATGAGGAACTTTCTATTTTAATAAAATGAAGGAGAGGAAAAACTATGTTCTTTAAAAATGTCAGTGCTATAAAAGATAAAGAAATGCTATGGAGAATGTTCCAGATTAAGGAAGACTAAAGATACATGCCAACTAAATTTAATATCTGACTCTACACTGAATTTTATTCTGGATGGAGAAACATGATATAAAGTTCATTGTTGGATAGATCAGAAAAAGTTGAATATGAATGGAAGATTAGTTAAAAGTGTTGTGTAAATATTACATTTACAGAGGCTGATAAATTAGCTATTTTTATGTAAGAGAATGTGTTTATTCATAGGGAGAATGCTAGTATACTGCTCTTAAGGAAAATATTTAGTATTTAGGAGTAAAGGACCCTCAAATGATTCAGAAAAAAATCATATGTGCATGTATATGTATATCTATTTCTGTATACACACAGACACGAGAGCAAGGGAGCAAATGAAAATGGTTAAGCAAATGAGGTGGAATGCTAATAAGCCTTGGCAAAGGCTATAAGTATTCTCTTTACTGTTTTGTTCTTGCAACTCTAAGTTTGACATTTCCAAATGCAAAGAGTTCTTCAAAAGAATAAATTTTACTTTAAAAATAGGCATTCATGTGTTAAGCAGTAATAAATGGTAATGCCATTAGTAGTTAGAAAGCAGCTCTTTGAATTAGATTTTAATAATCATTTTCCATTAGTATACTTATAAGTTTATTTGCAATTAAGAATAAATTGACTAGCAATGTTGAATCTGCTTGAAACTGCTCAAAACAAATAGTAATTCAGCAACGTTCTGGGAAATAATACCAGTATTAAACTAAATAATAATGAATGGGAACAAATTAGAAAGTTTATTATGAATTAGATTTCATTTACAATAGCAATAAGAGTTAAAAGGTACACAGAAATAATCATGACACAGCATTTTTTAGTCTATGTGAAAATTTAAACCATCTTGGCCAGATAAATGATAGGATTAAGTGGAGGGGAGCAAGTTGCTGAATTATAAAACTCAATATGATGAAGATTGCTTTCTCCATAGAAAGACTCATTATAAACAGATAAGCCAGTGAACAGAATAAAAAGGGAAAAAATAGAGACCCAAAAATATGTTTCACAGAGATAACTGTACAGATCAGTGGACAATTCAAAATATTTTGTTCAATACTTTGTTTTCCATATGAAAAAATAGACCCCTACCTCACACCATAGAAAAAGTCAATTCCAGTTGCATTGTACATTTAAATATGAAGAACACAACTTTAAAAGAGCACTAGGAGGATATCTGTGTAAGTTCAGGGTTGCTGGGGATTTCATAGGCTAACTGTACAACCTGTATAGGAAATAATTGATATATTTTAATACATTAAAATTTTAAAAAATTCTCCACAACAGAGTCATCATAAACAAAGTGAAGAGCCAAGTCACAGACTGCGAGTAGGTTATATTATAATCAGCAAAGGATTGTTTCCAGAGTACAGGAAGAGCTCCTTCAAATCATTAATGAAAAATGAGCAAAAGGAATAATTGGGGAATTCACAGGGCATAAACTTTGTAGATGAATTATTTCAAAGCACATAATTATGATCAAACTGTCCTTCAGGGTCAAGTATATAAGAGCATCTTTCTATCTTTAGCTCTAGTACTGAGCTTCCAGATAGTACAGTAAATTCCTGATTGTATGTATAGCCACACCGTGTTTTAATATCAAATTGTGAATATATTTCAGTGGCTAATGTTATATCATGAAATCTCACAGGACCAATCCTTTCCAGAATACGAAAATGGTTTTCAGGTTGGAATGAGATTAGAAGGCATTGACCCCCGACATCCATCTGTGTTTTGTGTACTTTCTGTAGCTGAGGTAAGAGATGGTGTTATCATCTTGAGCTAAATGCACAGTGAAGTGACAGAAGAGAATTTTCTAGAGAATAATGAATTAGGTACTTTCTGTTCTAAACAAGTTCCAGTACATTATGGTTTTATTTTAGTCAATGATGGGTGAAATATGTTTCTTAATGATCTTTTTCCTCTGAAGATTAGTTTTTTTTTTTTAGTAAGTTCTTCATCCTTAGCAGGTCTTGATTTAATTGGTAAATAGCTTTCACCTGAGGTTGATAACAATCAGTGAATCCCACAATGTTGCTTTCGTCCATTAGAGGAGACAAAATTATTAAAGTTTTAGCTAAACTAATGAGAAATGCATACGAAAAATATCCATGCATATGAATTATGTATTTCCCATAAATATATGCATTTTGTGAAAATTATATAAAGAGCCATTGATGAAAGTAAATGGCTTATAAAATGTCATATTTATTAAACATTTTATATTACTAAGTTGACAAAAGAGCTGTATATTTTTAATAGCATCAAATATAGAAAACTCTGTTCACTTAATTTACTGATTAATTATAACTATTAAACTTATACAGCATGTCTAGAGAATGTATTTCTCAGACTGTTTTATTATTTCCTTTATTGAGTATGCCGGATTTATATGTTAGAGTTTAAATAAGGCCACATCCATTTGGCTTTTGCTTTGTACTTTAGCTTACTCTGTCTTGGGATATGACTCCAAGCCAGACAGTAGGAGATGGGGTTTCTGAAAGAAATATTTGACAGGTATTGGGTTAATAAATAAACTCATTGAATAGATGTGTAAATTGACCTCATATTTCTAGATTGAAAATTTTTTGCAGAAAAAAATTTTAGGTACTTGAAAGACAAGTGTATTTTGTCTTATTTAGATGTTGTCTATAAATTTGTTCTATAATACAAACACATTTAGATGGAGGGATTGGGTCGCATATGTTGATAGCAATGACAGAATATATGAATATTTTGTTAATGTTTTGTATACTTCAAATACATAACACAATGAATGATTGCAAACATTCCATTTTGCAGGTGTGTGGTTACCGTCTAAGGCTTCATTTTGATGGTTATTTAAGCTGCTACGATTTTTGGACCAATGCTGGTTCCCCTGACATTCATCCAATAGGGTGGTGTGGAAAGACCAAACACGAATTGCATATCCCTAAGGGTAAGCAAGGATGGAAAGAGAGTGAGTGGTTATTTCAGCTTTATTTTAACAACATTTCATGAAAGAATAATGAGATCCTGGTGTGATTTGGTTTTCAAAATGAAAGTTTGGTCATCAAAAAGGAGTAATTCTGTAAGGATATGATTCTTAGAAATAAATGTCTTTTTAATAAAAGCATCAATGACTGCTTGAGTCAGAGATTCTGATAAAACAACTAGGTAACAGAATTAAAATCTTATGTTAGCATTTTATTTTAAATAAAGTTTATTAAACTTTATGAGGAATAAAGAAACTAATGCTTAAATTGTGATTAAAATGAAATATCTAAAATAATGAAGTCTCAGTCAATGATATTGTGCAGTGAGAAACTTGAGATTCACTGACACTGTTTCCAACAGAAATCACAGGAAAACAGGGAAATATGAAAGAGAAAATATTTCACTGATCCAAAAATATTTATTGAACCTGTTTTCTTTGGGCCAATAACCTGATTTTGTTGTTGTTTTATACCAAAAGATAAAGACTGGCAAATGTGACTGAAGTCATTTTTATTTGCTATGTGCTAGTGAGGTGAGGATTTGACCAGTTGAAATGCCAATGGGCTCATTCCGTTGCATACAAATCTACACTAATAAAAGAGAAAGATGCAAATTGACTGTACCTTCATGACACCCACCAGCCAATCAGGAGTGAGTATGCAAATTAACCCAACAAAGATGGTGGGTTAATTTGCATACTCAGGCATCAAGAGCAGCTGGGGGAGGGGCAGGAGGCTTGTGTCATTGCCATGGTGATGACGCAGGCATTCCCAACCGTCCCAGCCGCTCCAGGCTTCTGGGCAGCGTCGGAAGGCGGAAAGGCAGCTCTGGGCCGGAGCCAAGGCAGAAAGGCGGCTCTGGCCAGAGTGAAGGCAGTGCCGGCAGCCAGGGGAAGGAAGACCCATTCTTGCACGAATCTTCGTGCATTGGGCCTCTAGTTTCTGTATAAAGTCTTTGATATTAGATGATTTGATGACCCTGGAAACTTCTGGAGTTAGTATATAGTCATTTTATTCTTAGTAACCAACTCAGGGTCCCCTCTGGCATCTGTCCCTGAGACTAATAGCAGAATCCCTTAAGATTGCTGGATTTCGCGGAAGCTGATAACAGGCCGGCCGTAGGTTCATTCATTTGGTACATATTGATGGAGCCCTTACTCTGTGCAGGCACTGGGGATATAGCACTGAATAAGATAAACAGTCTCTGCCTTCATGGGTTTTCATTCTAGAGGGGAAGTATAATATAAACAAAGACAAAGATTCAGTATCGGGCAGTGAAGGGGTGGGAGGTCAGAGAGCATCACAGGGACACTCTGACTTAGTGTGATGAGGAAACGCCTGAGAAAGTGGCGTCTGACAGATACGTGGGTGAAAGGAGAGAGAAAGCAATGTGGCTGCGTGGATAAGAGCAGTTGTTGGAGACAAAAGCAACAGTAAATGTCCTGGGGTCAGTGTGCTTGAGGAATCACAAGGAGATGAATGTGGCTAGAACAGAGCAGCGAAGGCGGGAAACCAGGAGAAATGGAGATGCAGCCTGGCTTTGAAAGGTTTGACTTTTATTCTGAGTATAATACTGATCTAGAACCCGTTTTCTTTGGGCCAGCACCCTGTGAACCACTTTAGGGCACATGGATGGGAGGAGGATGCATTTTTTTAGGGGAACCTACAAAGCTATGGATCAGAAAGCTGGATGGTCTTTGGATTGTGAAGGTATTTCTGTAATTTACACCAAGTGTCTGGCACCTGGATTATTGCACCACCAGGACATCTGGTGGCCTCGATGATATGGCTTCTTCTGGAGTGATGAGGAAAACCTAGAGAAGTAGGAAAACCCTCTTCTAGTTACCAGATATAGGAGATATAGAACGTATATTTTCTAATCCCAGGGATGGCTAATTATAGTTTCATGAAAGTGGGGTTTTGTCATTTTAATATTTTGTATAACATAGTCTTTAGTATTTTTTTAATACTAAAAATATGTGCAGATAATAATATGTCTCCTTCCTTTGCCCATTTTGGAAAGTCCTAATGGGATATGAGACATCCACCAAGCAACCAGGGTACCAATTCCATATTTTAATAAATTTTAAAAATTTGTAGATGGGAAATCAAACTCAACAGTTTTGAAGTTTATACATGAAAAAACATTGAAAGATCCCTTACCACCACCACACTCTCCCCGCCCCCACCCTCCCCACCCCCCGCCCCAGGAGAGGTGAGGGCAGGTGCTGGGGAGCCGGAAAGGCCGGGGAGAGGTCAATGGGGGGAAAAAGAGACATATGTAATACTTTAAACAATAAAGAATTTAAAGGAAAAGAGTTGTAGAAATAACAAAAAAACAAAACAAAAATAACCAACAACATTGAAAAAACCTAGAGATTTTTTAATTTAAATCTTTTGTGTTCTGCTAAAGGACATTTAATTTCTGGAAGAAGACTGAATAAGAATTATATATTTAGCATGCACATGGTTACATTTGTGGGTATCTTGAATAATCTGTACTTTTTTTAGGTTATAGAAAAGATAAATTTGTTTGGATGAATTATTTGAAGGCCTGCAAATACCAAAATGCTCCCAAGAAATTATTCAGAAACAGAAGTCCTGTAAGTATTTTCTCCCTCAGTATAAATTAGATTTTTCTTTGAGCTTAAATTTTTAAATATCCACTATATATTATGTTGTACTTTAATTTTTAAAGAATTCCTAGCTTCCTGTTGACCTTTTTTCACTTAATATGTCAGTTTCTTATAGGCATATCTTTTTATTCCCTTTAAACATATAATTAAATACTTTGATTAGATGGAGAGTTGAAAACTTTATATTTAAAGCCTTCTAAAATTTAAAATGCCTTTCATAAATGTTTCTTTTTTTCCTGTGCTTTTTGTGAGTTAATCATTTAAAGTTAATTTTGGTGTTTTGAGACCAGTAAACGCCCCAGAGAGACTTTGAATGTACCCATCCTAGTTGGATTTTTGTGTAATGACAATGAGGGTAACATTTTATACAGATTCAAGAAGTGTATGAGAATTTGAATAGAGTATACTCATACCACCTATGTCCCCAGCAACCTACCAAGTCTTAAGGAGAGAATGAGGATAAGTCACAGCCCTACCTCCTCTGAGCCCATGGGCCCAGCAGTGAGGCCACACATCAGGGAAAGGGGTGGGAAGCCTAGAGTCTTGCACCTGTTGGCCGAGTCCCTGTGTAGGACACCTAGCCAGCTTTTCCAAGCTTCAGTGTCCTGATGTTGAAATCAGTGTTATACAGTTTCTCTATATGGTTCATAGAATGTATCAGGGAAAGAAATGTGAAATTGCTTTGAAAAATGTAAGGTGCTTAAGGAAAACAAAACTCAGGGGTCAGTATATATAGTAAAGAAGTAGGAAAACCCTCTTCTAGTCACCAGATATAGGAGATATAGAACATATACTTTCTAATTCTCAGGGCTGGCTAATTATAGTTTTATGAAAGTGGGGTTTTGTCATTTTAATATTTTGTAAATCATAGTCTTTAGTATTTTTTAATACTAAAAATATGTGCAGATAATAAAGAGCATTTGGATATTTCAATTATAATTTTATTTGTGGGTTACTACATGTATTCCTTAAATATTGAAAAAGCCACTAATTTCAGATCTGATCAAAGTAAATAATTTTGGTGCTAAAGAGTGGTATTTGGAAACAAAGCCTCTGGGGAGCCGAGGAAATTATTTGATACTACTGTATTCAGTAAACATCATATTTTAAAATTCATACAAATTACTGTAAGAATTGAAGAAGAAGGAAGATGACCCTGATAAGGGAAATAAGCCTATATGGACAAAGAAAGGAACAGCACAATTTAAAAGCTAATCTTTCGATCTTTGTTCTGAATATAAGCTTCCTAACAGTTTGTTGGGTTATTTTTACTGGCATTTGCTGGCTTTATTCATAAGGGAAAGTGTTGAGACCCTGTAGACTTTTCTGATGCTAAACATCATAGAAGTTCTGACCATGCTCTGTCCTGTTTGGTGTCCTGTTTCTTTCTGGCGCTGTGTTAGAACGGGCCAATGCCTAAAGAATTTCAGGTGGGAATGAAGCTGGAGGCTGTCGACAGAAAGAACCCTTCACTGGTGTGTGTGGCAACCATAGCAGATATTGTTGAAGACCGCTTGCTAGTGCATTTTGACAATTGGGATGATATTTACGACTACTGGTGAGACACCATTGTGTGTTTTATTTTTGTGTGTTTGTGTTTTGTGTTAAGAATTTCTTTTCATTCCAGTATTATCGCTGTTCTTACTGTTTTTGACGTTATGAACAACAGGAATTCACTACCACACAAATTGTTGAATTTGAGCCCGAGAAACGTTTCCTTCATTCCACGAGAGGTTGCCTAATGAGGCCCCATCCAAAATAATATGACCAGTTCAGGGCATTTCGCTGTATTTTGTCTAGTTTGTAAGGGAAACATTTTCGTGAAGAGGAAGATAAGACCTTGCAATATTTTTTCCTGAAAATGTTGAACTCGCCCTGTCATATTTTTCAAAGGAATGATTCAGAGAGGATGGAGTGAATTATTTGAAAGCCTGTGGGAGCAGAGAAGATGCTACAGTGCCATTAAACAAACATTGCTTGAGTTAGAAGGGTTTTCCAGGCAAGAACCTGACGTATGGAAAAGGGCATGACAAAATAATTTTAGTAGCATTTCTTCATAGAATGTGCTGAATAACCAACAAGTCCCTGCCTCAGAAGGATACCTTGATTCCTTCCTTGAACTAAGAAGCAGAGTAATGATCAATTGCTGTCTGTGTCTTAGGGAGTGGAGTCTGAATTCTTTGAAAAGGAGACAAAAGAAATGTGTAGTCATGTGGAATCTGATTGGGCTGTCCATAAATTTGGACTGGCCTATTAATATTTTTCCTTGCTGCTAGCAAGAAGTGGTAGAAGTGGTTTATTAAAATGTCCATTCTTTGGGGATGTTACTGGAAGTTCATGTTTTAGTCAAATACTTTTTATTTTATACTTTTAAATTTCAAGAAGGTTATGTAAAAGAGAAGTTGGGTCACTCAGCTTGCAAAATATAGCACTAAAATTACTTCTAATTCTCTTCAGCTATAAACTAATGTTTTAGCTATGAAATAATATTTTCCATGATATCTCTCCATATCCAGAATGTTCATTACTCTTGGATTTGTCTGGCCTTGAATAATATGGGGCCTAAATAGAATCCTGTTTTTGCAGGTGTGATGTAAATAGTCCCTACGTCCAGCCTGTTGGTTGGTGTCAGGAGAATGGAAGAACTCTGATAGCACCCCAAGGTGAGTGGACATGCTGGGTGTTCTTTTAAGTCATTCTGTGTGAGTGGTAATGGTCATTCTTATTTTCATTTATATAAACCATATTTAAATAAAAAGTGTATGATGAAAATACTGTGCAAGGTAGTGTTGGCCACCAAGTAACCCGAATATCTAAAATCTGCGCATCCTTCCCCATAATGAAAATAGACTGTTTTGTAAAGGTGAATTAGACATTAAAAAAAATTGCTAAATGTTTTTATCCAACAAAATGAGTGCTATTACTATAGATCAACATTTAAAACAAGCTATTTCTAGCTACATAATTTATCTCATAATTTATGTTAATTCATTAATTGAGCCTCAGATTATTAAATATACTTAGCTTTGGAGTTGAATATAAGAAATCTAAGAAGTGAGAATTAATAATGACTTGCCAGATCCCTTTACCAAGCCAACTTAATGACAGCTAAATACTGAAGTAAGGACTCTCTAGTTATTATATTTTTTTTCTCATTACAGGAATATTAAGAAACATTCCTTAGAGATTTGCTGTTTCAGTTCCACCATTTTTTATTAAATTTATAAGGGTGATATTGGCTAATAAAATTATATAGGTTTCAAATGTGCAGTTCTAAGGTACATCATCTGTATATTGCATCGTGTTCACCACCCAAAGTCAAGTCTCCTTCCATTACTATATATTTGACTCATTTACCTTTTTTTAAGAAAATATATTTTATTGATTTTTTACAGAGAGGAAGGGAGAGGGATAGAGAGTTAGAAACATCAATGAGAGAGAAACATTGATCAGCTGCTTCCTGCACACTCCCTACTGGGAATGTGCTGGCAACCAAGGTACATGTCCTTGACCGGAATCAAACCTGGGACCCTTTAGTCCGCAGGCTGATGCTCTATCCACTGAGCCAAACCAGTTAGGGCGACTCATTTACCTTTTACTACCCACACTTTCCTCTGGGAGCCACCACACTGCTGTCTATGTCCATGTGTTTCTATTTGTCTTTTTGTCCTGCTCATTCATCTGTTGCTTTCAGGTTTATATTCAACATCTTAGTGAAATCATATGACTTCTAACCTTCTCTGTCTGACCTACTTTGCTCAGGATGATATTTCAAAGATGCATCTGTGTGTTTAATTTTAAAATGAATTAGATGTAGTGGTTGTGTAATATTAACATTTTTAAAACAAGTGTTCTAGGAGAAATCTGTTTTATTTCAATAAAAATATAGAGTAAGGAATGTGTCAGAATGGAGCAGATGCTTACCTTTTAATTTGAATGACTCTGGATCTTGCTGTTTTTAAATCTACCCCCTCCCCCTTAGTTATAGGAAAATACTAGGATTTCTCAACAATTTTTTTTTTATTATTCAGTGAAAAGAGTTCAAGAATTAAAGACAATCAACAAGCCAAACAAAAACCACACCCTATTAAAAATATTAAATTAGTCTTTAAAGGTTTTATAAGATAATATATAGTATCTTCTCAAACTCTGATTTTGATGCACAGATAGCTTTAGAGTTGCTTGTCCTATTTTTCTGTAAAACTGGCTAAGGCTAGCTTTAGACAGTGTTCTTTAAGATGAAGTGAACTGTTGGTCAGATCTCAGAATGGTGGTTGGAGTTGGCATGCCTGCAGACGGAGCACACACACTTCCATTTTCCTCCAGAGAAATCACTTCCATGCTGCTTGCTACCTGCTCACACTAGACGGTACGATGGACTCAGTGTTGAAGTCTATAACCCATCTCTTGGTGCTGTGTGAGTCTAGGAATAGTCTGTGCAGCACATTAAGGATTAAAGGTCCAGATCATTCCATTGTTAACATGAACCAAGGACTGAGAGAAACCCACCTGCCACATACCAGGTGAGGCCCAGGCTTAAGGCCCTGATTGGATATAAATAGGAGACTATTTCCTTCCTAAAGTCAATAAAATAACAGCAGAACTCAATCCAGGCTTGTAGTTTTTACTGTAGAATTAATTGTTTATTTAAATATTGTCACCATCTGAAATCTGAGTGATGGTTGAAACCACAGACTAATTTAGTAATGCACATTTTTCATTTGAGGAGCAAATTACCTTCTCTAAGAGTTCTTAAAATTCTTAGGATATTTTATCTGACATATAATGTTTAAATTAGAATCTCACAGTTAAGCTACCTCTAAACCTTACACACTTTTCAGTATTCTTTTTACTAATTAGAGTATTTTTATACATTTGAGTAAAATTTCCTGTGTGGACATGTCTTCATTTCTCTTGAGCATAAACCTAGGAGTGGAACTGCTGGGTCATATGATAAGTCTGTGTTTACTATATTGAGGAGCTAACACACTGTTTTCCAAAGTACTTGTGCCATTTTACATTCCCACTAGCAATGTATAACAGTTTTTATTTCTTAACATATTTGTCAATACTTGTTATTTTCTGTTTTCTTGATTAAAACCATCCTACTGGTTGTGAAATAGTATATCTCTCTGCTTTTGACTTACTTTTTTCTGATGACCAATGATGTTGAATATCTTTTCATGTGGTTATTGGCCATTTGTACATCTTCTTTATCTGCTTAAATATTTGCCCATTTTTAAAATTGGGTGCTGTTTTTATTGTTTATTATTTAAGTATTATATTACTTTACTATTCTTAATTATTATTGTAGGATTTTTTTATGTATTCTGGTTATTAAACCCATATTGTATAAATGATTTTCAAATGTTTTCTATGTAGATTGTCTTCTTTACATGTTTTAATTTTTATGTTTTAAATAATTTTTTTATTTTTCAATTACAGTTAACATAAATATTATATTAGCTTCAGATGTCCAACATAGCGATCAGACATTTATATAACAAGGGATCACCCTGATAAATCTACTACCCATCTGATACCATACATAGTTATTATAATATCATTAACCATATTTCCTATGCTATGCCTTACATTCTCCTGACTGTTTTTATAACTAATTTGGACATCTTAATCCCTTCTCCTTTTGCACCCATCCTCTCAAACCCCCTCCCATCTAGTAGTGATCATAATTGGTCTCTGTATTGATGAATTTGTTTCTGTTTTTTAAATGTTCATTTATTTTGTTTTTTAGATTCTACATATAAGTGATATCACATGGCACTTATCTTTCTTTCTCTGACCCATTTCACTTAGCATAATACAATCTAGGTCCATCCAAGTTGTTGCAGATGGCAAGAGTTCATTATTTTTATGGATGAGTAATACTCCATTGTATATATGTGCCACCTCTTTTTTATCCATTTGTTTATTTATGCTTTTTATGAGATTGAGGAAGTTCCCTTCTATTCCTAGTTTGTTTTATCATCAAGGTATGGTTCTTTATTCTGTAAATATTGTGTTAATAGGTTGATTGCTTTTTGAATACTGAACCAATCTTGTATTCCTGGGGGAAAATCTCACGCGCGCGTGTGTGTGTGTCACACAAATATTTCCAACATGTTGTTGGACTTGGCTTGCTAATATTTTGTTGAGGAATTTTGTGTCTATATTTATGATGTCATTCACTTTTGAAAAATGTTTATATCCTAATAGAGTATCTAAAGCTGCTGTTAGTGCTAAAGAAAAACAGAATGAACGCCATTTCAAAATTTCAGTTAGTTAAAATGTTCACAGTATGATTACTTGTCTTAATGAGGGATTTAACTTTGTCATAAGGGGTTTCCTCTTGCGGCGTTGAGAGGGTTGACCCTTCCTGGTAGCCTTCTTTGAACCCCAGGACACTTCCCATTTGATAGGTGATATGTAAAATGAAAATACAAGTAGATTAACCACTTAATTGAGGTGTGAACAAGAGAGTGGAGTTCAAAGAAAATATACACAAAGAAAATGTGAGTAAAAATTGGGTTAAAGCAAAGTTTAGCAATAAACAAAATTGCTTAAAACTTGTGATGAGTTATGGTTATTCTGGCCTATATGAGTGCACCAAAGATGATAGGTCCCTATTAACTGCAAAACAAAGGAAAGATGTGAATGAAGTCATAGATAGTAGAAAGGTCCATGAGGCAGATTAATAGAATGCTGTGTACACAGGTAGTTCACAAACAGGAATTTAAACATGAGATTTTAAAAGGAAAACCAACCAGCTCTCTCTGTGTATCTGTATCTATATCTATATGCCTGTATCTATATATCTCTATCTCTATCTCTATCTATCTCTATATCTATGTATCTATATCTATATCCACATATATATCTATAATCTATATATAGATCTGTGTCTGTGTCTATGTCTATATGTTTACATGTTTATATGTTTATGTTTATATGTTTATATATATTTATAGTTTATATGTAGTAAAAAATGAAAAGAAATTAATATTATCTGTTTCTGTTAATAACTTGGCTCCAAAATTTGTTAGCCACAGTTATTTTACTTAAAGTGAATTTATATTTTAAGCATTATTTATGCATATAGATTTTTGCATTACATCTTATTTTATGGTTTTATTGTCAGAAAAAATGTATTTACTATATCATAATGTGTGTGTGTGTGTGTGTGTAATTGCACTCCTGAGAGCAATTAAGTCTCCTGAAAGTGGAACAGCATGTGAAATCTGTACAGGTGCCTCTAGTGCATACTCAGATTCTCATAGACGCCAGTAAAAGAGCCTCTTCAAAGATAAAGCGGGGGGAAAAAAAGGCCAGTTCTTAAAACATGTAAATTATAAAATGTAAAGGTGCTTTTCACTGATATAAATTTAATCCAAGCTGTTACATATTTTATTCAGTATATTTCTAGAGAGGACTAACAAATATGGCTGGGGCTTCTGCTCCTTCAGAATCAATCTACTGGAATTTTAGCTGAAGTTACAAAAGGAACCTTTGTGTACAAGTGTTTGCGTGAACGTGTTTTCAGTTCTCTAGGGTAGAAACGTAGGAGCAGTATTTTAGACTCTACCACAGGAAGTGCCCCATTTTACATTCCCACCAGCAGTTGTGAGGGTTCCATTTTCTCTATATCCTTCCTAACACTTGTTTG